CAAAATTAAAAGACACCTGCTTCTTGGGAGGAAAGCTATGACAAACCTAGAGAGCATCTTAAAAAGCAGAGACATCACTTTGCTGACAAAAGTCCGCATAGCCAAAGCTATGGTTTTTCCAGTATTGATATATAGAAGTGAGAGCTGGACCATAAAGAAGGCTGACCGCCAAAGAATTGATGCTTTTGAATTGTGGTGCTGGAGGAGGCTCTTGAGAGTCCCCTGGACTGCAAGGAGAACAAACCTATCAATTCTAAAGGAAATCAACCCTGTGTGCTCACTGGAAGGACAAATCCTGAAATTGAGGCTCCAATACTTTGGCCATCTCATGATAAGAGAAGACTCCCTGGAAAAGACCCTGATGTTGGGAAAGTGTGACAGCAAGAGGAGAAGGGGACAGAGGACAAGATGGTTGAACAGTGTCACTGAAACTACCAACATGAATTTGACCCAACTCCAGGAGGCAGTGGAAGACAGGAGGGCCTGTGTGCTCTGGTCCATGGGGTTACGAAGAATCGGACACGACTGAATGACTGAACGAATGAACCAATGCCATGCTGGCTGTGTTCTTGATTTCCCTAACCAGGACAAGATGGTTGAACAGTGTCACTGAAACTACCAACATGAATTTGACCCAACTCCGGGAGGCAGTGGAAGACAGGAGGGCCTGTGTGCTCTGGTCCATGGGGTCACGAAGAGTCAGATATGATTTAATGACTAAACAAATACAAAAATTTGAATATTTGCAAATGAGAAGATTTTTTTTAAAAAAACCTGCTTTTCCTGCATTTATATTTTTAGCCCTGTATTCATGGCCCTGGAATAAAGTAATTCATGCAAAATCCTGTACTTTATTTGACCCTTAATCTTTCTTATATTAAATTGGAAACTTGGCAGTCAGGGAATGCAGACTGAAAATTGTTACCAAACAAATGAGGGGGAAAATATATCATGGGAGTAACATTTGGCTAGCTGAACGGTGAAAGAGGATCTTGCATTTTAAGGGTAAAGTATTATATTGGCCAGGAAGGAAGTCTAGAGCATGTACAGTGTGATCCAGAAGATCATAGTTTTGTACTTTATGGATGCTTCTGAACAAGATCCACAGAATTTTACTTGGGTTCTGAATCCAACTTGAACATTATATCATATTCACTAAATAACGCTCCTGTGTTTCTCACTTCTTTTGGAATTTTCATTGCCCAGGGGAGAAAAATCTAAGAGTGAATGAAAGAACAATTGGATATTGCCATTTGAATGGTCATGCTAGGAGCTCTCCATCCAGAAACACCACTGTGTTTAATATATTCGCGAAGGCTTTCACGGCCGGGATCTAA